TCGGGGGCCCTCTTCTCCTTCGTGATCTGCAGCGTCAGCCGATCTCCGCGCGCCAGAGGCACCGCGTTGCGCATGCACGGGACAAGCACGCTGCAGACGCGGAGGGGGGCGGACGGCTGGCACTTTGTCATTGTCTGGAACTCTTGTGGTCGAAGTGCAACGTTGAACTTCCAGTGCCCCTGTCCCTGCACTAGCTGGGCTCGGGCAAGTTCTTCTGGTGTCACCCTCTCAACTCCCTCAAAGAAGTGCAAGGACTCGGTACCTCCGAACTTAAACTGGCACGGATTATCTGACTGGTCGGCCTCGCCCTGTGCAGCCGCCGCTGCTGCGGGGGCCGCCCCGTCGAGCTCCGGACCCACGGGCGCCTCGCCCTGCGCGCCCTCCGCCGCTGCGGAGGCCGCTCCCTGCGGCGCGGGCTTGAGCTCCAGCTCTGGTAATTTGAAATCGGGCGTTGCCCAATACTTTTCCATTTGCTCGACAGGAGTCGGAAGTTTCTCACCGACTAGCACCTCCACTGCCCGCGGGTTGCTCGAGACTTTCGGGAAAACCTTCGCGGTGGGGCAGCAAGGGAAGAGCATCAGTTCCCCCTCGGCGATGTCCTCAGTAGCCACCACATGGACACTCTTGGCTTGAACGTCATATTGCATCTGGACGGGTTGGGCGCAAGTGTCCGCGTGACGGTGGAAGCTAGTCATCACTTCCGCGATGCTTGCTTGGTGCCACCTGTCTGTGTCGAGATTGGCAGACGGAGCCGAAGCGTGCCACGATTTCACTGGGACCACCATCAGGCTGTTCAGGGGCTTTGACACTTCAGACATCTGCCTGTTCAGAGGCTCGTCTTCTTCGTGGAACTCTATCAGCACTGGCTGCGGGCGAGGGCCCTCGCCACCTCCGCTGCTGCGAGGGCCATCGGGGTTCTCGGGGGCCGCGGGCAGCTTGTCGGCCCACGGCGCAGGAGGGGACGGGAACTCTTTCTGTGCGTTCTTTTCCATTTTCTGCCAGGCCTCGCGTACTTCAGCATAGTGCGGACGCACTGCCTCGCACACGGCCTCCACAACTGCCTCCACCCGAGGTTTGCCAGCCTTCGCCCTTACGTACGCCTGGTAGAAGGCCTCCGTCGCAGTCAGAACCGCCCCCGCTGTCAAAGTCGCGCTCTTCTCCTCCCCGTGGGCCCCCGCTGCTGCGGGGGCCTAGATGCGACGGACGTACCCCAACAAAGCATTCAGCTCCTGTACCCGACTGCTGCCCTCGCTGTGTCCCCAAGCCGTTTCCGGCGCGGGGCATTGCCCGCCCCTCGGCTCTTGCGAGTACGCCCTCATGACAAGGGCAACCTTCACATGGGGACACTCAATGGGGAGTTGGTTGAGAACGCCCCATGTGGCTGGTGACAGGGAGCGCATTTTGTGATCCACCCAACGTCTGTCATAATCCAGAATTTGCAGTATGAACTGCCCTGATGCGGCCCCTACGTTGATCACGAAAGTGAACATGTCCTCGAACCATTTGGCCTTCGCGTACTCGGGGTGTCGTTGCGCGCAGGCCTTCAGAATAGTGTCGTACGGGATATTCAAGGGCTGCCCTGTCTCAGATCCCGACGATGCTTTCTTGGCCTCCGCTGCTGCGGTGGCGACGAGATCAGCGACGGACGTCAGGAGCTCGATTTCGTGAGAGGTCGCACCTTTTCCCTTCGGGTCGTTCAGGGCCGCGGAAATGATCGCCGGGCCTTGCGCGAAGTCGGCATCGAAGTGAATTTCCCACGCGAGCACCTCGCAAAGCAAACCGTTATCGAGCACGTCCATGAGTTCGGCGAACTTCGGTGCGCGACGCATCTTTGGGATATCCCAGGAGCCACCCAGACCTGTCTGGAACTCCTCCAAACCATATCCTTTGTGTTCTTCGGGAATGACCCACACCGCGCCGTGCTTGAGGCTCATCAGACCAAGGGTCAGCGCGCAGTGGCTCAGCGCCCCGTAGTTGAACGTTGACAAGCTTGTGTACGCCGGGCGTAGAGCCTCCACGGACTCCGTTTTCTGCTTGTCGTGGTCCGCGTGCGCCATGCACGGCCTGCCATGGAGGCGCTCGCAATCCGCCTTCTTCCCGGCAGGGAGTTCCTGAACAACCGCTGCTTCGTGCTGCGCCTCGTTCTTGAGGAACCTGTCTTTCAGAATCCCACACAGGAGATCAACCACTCCGGCAGCGGAGGGGCACGTTCCACCCCTGTTCTGCGGGTGGACGCTGATATCCTCCAAGGAGATCTTGGCCTTCAACCGCTGCCCCTCGGAGTCCTTCAAGGCATAGCGGCTGCGCAACATGGCGGCATCATTCAGGGGGCCTGACTCGATGTCCTCGGACATCTTTGCTGGTGCCCCCGCTGCTGCGGGGGCAGCTTCCAAAACAGATGCTCCGCGACGGTTGCCCCCGCTGCTGCGGAGCCCCGCTTGAAGCGCGAGCGCCTGTCGCGCGCGCGGACAGGAGGAGGGGCCTCACGGGGCCCGCGGCCTGCCCGCACTTGAGAAAAAGGAGAAGGACAGGAAAGGCACACAGAGAGAGAAAGAGAGAGAGAGAGAGAGAGAGAGAGAGAGAGAGAGAGAGAGAGAGAGAGAGAGAGAGAGAGAGAGAGAGGCGACGAACGGCGGGTCGACGCGGCCTTCCCTGAACAGGAGAACCATTGAGGCATCGGCCCCCCCTCTGCGAGAGAAAGGTTTCCCGCCCCGAACCCATCTGTGAGAGAAGGGGTCGCTGTGCGAGTTGCGCGAATGGAAGCGATGGACAGGAAAAAGAAATGATGGCGGGCGGGGGATTGCAGGAGGGAGTGCAAGGGGAAGCAAAGCAAAGGAGAGGGCAGGACGAAGACGACAGCACAGATGGCAATTTTTTTTCACACCGCATGCGATGCCGCACGCGACGCGCGAATGCGCGCTCCCCCGCGCGCGCGCGAGTCCGCCCCTCCGCCGAGGTCACCCCCCCTCCGCGAAATTCGTGAGGCATCCCTCCGCTGCTGCGGAGGGGCGCCCCCCTTGCGCGCTCGGGATGTCGTCGTCATCCTGAGGGCCGCGCATCCAACCAGACGGGGGCACCGTCGTGTTCATCCGCCCCGCGATTACATCCGAAGGGGCTCGAATTCTTCTTGCCAGCAGCTGCCGACTGGCGGCATCTTGGAGCCTAGTTTGCACCAGTTGCCCGAATGGTCGCGGTGCCAGAGTGCCTGGTCAAATTGATCGTCCTCTTCCACGCCTGTCCTCCGAGCAGTCTTCTCAGCCCGCAACCCACCACGCTCCAAGACAGTTGGCAGTGAATATGATGCGGATACGAGTTGCGGGAAAAAAAATACCAAGAGCAGCCGCCTACGGCAGCGCCACCCTCCGTTTGATTCGACGTGGCTGGATGGAGGGTTCGAGAAGGGAGGGGAGAGGATGAACGAGGCAGCGATCGGAAACGGGTGGGGGCGAAACAAGGAGGGAAACAACGGGAGCAGGAAGGGAACAATGGTGGACAACGAAGGAGGGGATGGGGCGGGGTGGAATGGGCGGAAGGGGGGAGGGGAAAAAGGGAACGCTGGGAGCGGGCTGCCGACTCATGGATGGGCACAGGAAGAAGGGTGAGGAAAGAAGGAAACCGACGATGAAGACAGACGTTGGATCCGTTCCACCCGAAGTTCGTCACGGTAGTTTTCCTCTGCGCCGAGTCGCCATCCACGCGGTTCCCCCCGCGGGCTGAAACGTTTCAAAGCAGCAGCCGCGAAACGATCGCCGAACCCTAGTGCCCCCGAACGAAGCCCTTTGACTTCGGCCACGCTTGCACTGGAAACATGCGCCCTCTCGACGCGGCGCTGTCTGCAAGGCACGCAGCGCTAAGGCATTTGCGAATCGAACGTGACTCTGAGCAACAATCCCAAGCGAAACGCATCAATTGAGCAAACACCACCCTCTTGCTTGCGAGATCGTTCGGCCTATCCCCAACCATTCGGCGCTCGCCTCCCGGACGTCCGCCACCGAACAGGCAAACGAACATGTGCATCTTCCTATTTTTCCTTCTCCTTCTCCCCCCTTTCCGCACCCCCACACTTCGCCATCGTCCTCTTCTAGGCTATCTGCGAATACGTGCGTTCGTTTTCTCTCTTCCTCCTCGTCCTCCTCCTCCTCCTCCTCATCGCGGGCGCCTTCTTCATCCTCGCCCTCCTCCACCCCCCTCAACCCCGTGTTTTTTTCACGATCGACGGCACCAGCCGCAAGGCATTCACAATATCAAACCGCCCCTCGCGCCATTCGTGCCCCTCTGACGCCGCCTGGTGCTGAAATGTGGCACGGTATGTCTTACAGCAGAAGCGTGCAGTGATGAATCGGGGCCCCAATAAAAGAAACATGTTCTATTGCGCTCCCACGCAGCTCGCTGAGGAAAGCTCGCGTGTCGGGGCCGCTCCCCCCATCCCCCGACGTAAAAAACACGGGTGGCCATGCGTGGGAACTGGCGGGGACATGGACTAAACGCGGGCATCGAAATCAAGAAAGCGAACGCGCGCAAAAAACAAACGAGCACAACCGAAAACAACCATCCCTCTAGGAGTAACTGGTAGCCGACAAAGACACTGTGTCTGACTGCGTTTGGTAGGCACAGTAAGAACGCTGACAGTATCGACGTGGGGGGTATCGCCACGTGTGTTACGACGATATGTCCTTAGACACTTTCGCAAAGACCCCATCGTGCATCCATCGTTACCCCCCTCTCCTCCCTCCCCTGTTATCCTCCACCCCCTCTCCTGCCATTGTTCGTCCTTCCCCCCATCGCCCCCCCGTGCCTCCATTACCTCATGTCAGCTCGCCCCCCATTTTCCCGCCTGACCCTAACGAGCGTGTTGCTGACCCGATTCGGCACCCTACGATTTAAAATGCCCCAGTGCCTCCGAACAAGCCGCCCCCGACCAAATCCGCCGAATGTCACGACGTCGTGGTCCAAGGCGGCTGGGCAGGATCGAAAGCAGCAGCAATCAATCCGTGGACGACCCTGCGCCGGCGCTCTGTCCATCCGCGGGAAAGAGGCCTCGTATCGGGACATCGCTGTGGCTCTTGCCGTTGGCAAGGCACCACCTGTCCCATAAATAACGCAAGCACTCATAGCCAGCCTTCGTGGCGCCGCCATGCAGCGCCCAACTCTTCGACACACGGGGCCAAGGCTTAAAATGAGCGGAAAAGTTGCCAACCTTGTTGCCCGTCCATATGTAGCCCCCTGGAGGGGCCATCGCCTTGAGCTCCGGTTGCGTGATATCCTTGGTGGGGAGCACCGCAGGGTATATGCGTTCGCCCCTGGCACGGGCAGCCTTCTGCTTGGCTTTGGTAGCATTCACATTCACAGGACTGGGAACCTCACCGACGATTTTATTTCGGCCCTCCTGCCAATCCTTAATGAATTGCGCGTGGGCCGCCCTCTTCCGAACGACCTTATCTCGCTCCTCTGCGTAAGCCTTGCGGTCCGAAGCGTCGATCATTTCGAAGCCCTCTTCTGAGTCCAGAATCAGTTCCATCATCAAAATATCATCCAACTCTGAAGTGGCGAACCTGGGGGTTCGCTCCATGCCTGCGGGCCTCGAAAAACAAATCCCCCACCGAAGAATGAAATCGAAATTTCGGTTGCGAGCGGCATGCATTCATAAAGGAGCCGCGCGCACTAAAACAACAAAACAAGACCCAAATCGCACCCAACAAGAGAGAATCTGCGCAAATCGGCGCCGAAGGAATGCCCCGAACCCCACTCGTAGAAAAGAACCTGTGCTTGCATAGTTCCAACGTGTCACGGTCGGAAGTCCCAAGACAAAACTGGATCAAGTCGAACAGGATGTTGTACAACGACTTGGGCTTCCCAGTGGATGGCATGCCCAGGTGGTCGGCCACCTTGCCGAGGACAGCCTGGTCGTAGTTCCACCACGCTGCCCTGGAGGCGACCTTCTCGAAACTGTCCACATCGCCCACTTGATAGGGGCGGACGTGCCAACCCTTGAAATCTTTGGACTCCACATGCTTGTAGCGCAGCCGCTGCTCGACAGGGCTGAGCCATTGAATGGGCACTGCCTGGCGCAACAAACGTGCGACGATATCCGAATCCAGTTTTGGGAGGGCGGCTGAGAGCGAATGTTCTCTGAAATTCTGAAGCGGGGGCGGGGCACCTCAGGGCGCCGGGTGAATCAAACAGTGAGCAAACAACATGGGCACGGCAACCTGAACGCATTCCAGCACACAGAAACAACATTGCACACGCGAGCCCCAACCACGCCCTCCCAAAGTTGGATTCATCGCACGGGTTGCCGCGCCAATGCCTCCAAACTCCTCAAATCAGTAACTGGGTATATACAGTCGCGGACATCACGAACATTAGCGGAAGGCTGGAGGACTATATCGGAAACCCCTGGGATCTCTACAAGCGACTGCGGCCATACCAAAGCTGCGGAATCAGGAACTTCCAGCAAAGGCATGACCCAAGATGCCGCCGGCTGGCCGTCGGCAACTTTCCTTCGCACGCACACCTGGTTCTTCGCCCTGAGGAAAACGCAGACCCACGCTGACCGACACTGTCTCAAATCGCCCTGGCAGAACCTCATCAACTCCAAATCGGTCGCCTGCTGGGAGATATTCTGGGCCCCCGGGCTGTACCATTTCACGGAGGACGCATATGTGGCCACGTCCTTCGCGTCTGGGACCGTGGTTCCCGCGGCGCTCGGCTGGTACCATTTCGCGGTGGACGCCTGCTGTCTCTCGTAGACGTAGTGGAGATCAGAATCTACGCTCTTCCACCTGTGAATCCCATCCAACACCTGACTGTCAATGAGGTGCGAGAAAGATTTCCTCGCCGAGACTTTCATGTTTCCCTGTCCGTCGGCCATGTCTGATAGGGCCTTGATGCAATCCTCGACGACCTTCGAATTCAAAGGCCCATCGAAAGATTCTCGAACCCATGCCAAAAATTTGGGGGTCACCTGACCCGCTTCGGCCCGCAGGATCTCCATGATTTGTTCGTTGGCCACGTCCTTAAACAAACATCGTTCCACGAATGTTTTGCAGCCAGCAGTGAAGTTCGCATTGTCCTTGAAAATCGCATATGCAGCCACGTCCGCCTGCCAGCACTGCATGGCCTGCGCTGCCGAGTTTGCCCCCCCTAAGAACAGCGCGAGCCTCCCTGGCCACCCCCGTAAAATGTACAATTGGCGCTTGAGACGATGACCAACGATACCAAGCGCCAGCATGGCCATGGTCTGGGCTACTATGCCCTCGTTTCTGACGAAATCCTCAAGGTCGTGCGGAACCCACGCCTTGTCCTCTGGCGGGAACTTGAACTGGCACCGCGCCAGAGACTCCTGCATGGACTCAGGAGGCGGGGCGAAGCAAGAAGCGGAAGGACGAGGCAAGGAGAGGGGCCGGCCAAGCGGCAACTCCAAAACGAGCGGAAGGCCAGCACCTCACTCGGCCAAGCATGCCACTTGTTAGCTCGCATGGCCAAGACTGTCGCTGGTGAGTTCACCCGTTTGCGACAATCTGCGCCGTGCAAGCTCCCAAGCGACGTGCTCAGCTAGGTGGATTGTCCAATGCCATAGCCTTGCTCGCCACCACAAGCGCTACCAAAAAAACTCGCCATCGCGAGGATGGCATCGAGAGCTCCGCATTCAGAATGCGACGACGGGGTCGAGAACGCTTGAATGGAGTTGGCGCTGCCAAGCGTGGAGCCGCAAAGCACGATCCTGCCCTCGCAACCGCTACCGCATAGAAGGGTTGGTCGCGGCAGTCTTGTTAGGCCCATGGGGTTCCAGAGGGTCCGCCCGAGCTACATTCTGGGTCCATTCGGGGCTGGGCGATTTGATTTGGGGTTCTGCGGGGGGGGCGTTGTGGGCTGCATGTTCTGCTCGGTTAGCCAAGCCTCTCGGGGCCCTAGAAAAAGGCGCGGAACGCTCCAAGTGAGGTTCCGCAGACACCAGGAAGGCTAAAAAGAGCCTCAAGGGAGGATGCATCAGAAGGAAGGCCGAAGCAGAATCCTGCAGAACGTTTCTCCGCCGTTTTTCTGTGTGACCCCCGCCAACGGAGCTCGCCTGGAAAGCCTGCGGGGTCAATGTAACGGTTTCCTGTGAGCCTCCATGGGCCCCCATTGCTGTCCCATCGAGGCTCTCTTGAACTTCGTGGGCCCTCTGGAAGGCCCTCAGTGCGGTGGCCTGGCCGAGCAGCAGTTAAATGTAGCAGCATCTGCCTGCCTGTCCTACGAGCGATTGCAAGCCGCCTTGAAACTCGCCTAAAAGGAACCCCTGGGCCCCTGAGAGGCTTCGCGGCCCCTGATGTCGACGTGTTCTCGTGCATCCTGTCGGGGCCACTGGGGCGGGCAAATCGTGCCCCCCCTGGTGCCAAACACAACAACTTATTACCTGTTTCTTATGTTTCTGCCTGCTCGCGCGGCGTCGCGCCTCCTGGAATCGAGTCTGCGCATGCCCGGTGCCAGGCGACATCCGACCGCAGCGAGGTGGCCGGGCTGGTGTGCTCATGATTCGGGAGCACATTGGCCCGACCACCTCGCTGCGGTCGGGCATAGGAGTGCCCGAGGGCGAGGCCCAAACCCTCAATGAGACCTCCTGGAGACCCGACTACTCCAGGGCGGGGGGCCATGGGGGCCCCCCTGACGCCCCTACAGCCCAAAGACGCCGACAAACCTGCCCTTGACTCCCCAGCGCCGCCCCCCCCCTCTACCCCCGAGGTCCGAAGGATGAACTCACGCCCGCTGCTTGCTTTTCATCCTCGCTGTCTGTGGGTCGACGGGCAGAGCGACCCTGCGCGCGCTCGGCCCCCGAAATACGCAACCGCGTGGGAGGTCTGGCACACCATAGTTAGGACTCCCTCCTCCTGCCCTCACGTCACTCCCCCCTCATCCACCTCGTCCTCGCACTCCTACTCATTTGTTCTTCGCCCTCCCACCTCAATTACTGTTCCCATGGTCCCTCATCCTCCCTCCTCCTCCTCCTCCTTCTCCTTTCCTCCGTCCCCCCCCTCGTCCTCGTACTCCTCCGGCCCCTATTCTATTCGCCCCCCTTCCCCCTCGCCTTCCTCCTCGTCCTCTCGGAGCGCAGGGTCCAGCCAGAGAACTATTTGTCACCTGCTGACCATGCCGAGTACCGACGTGTGCTACCAACTTGTTTAATAAGACGTAGCATAAACATAGGGTGGTTGGGGCGGTCGAAAGACCCAAAACCAACAGACGCCCGCGGGTGCATCATCTTCGCCCCTCTACCGCGCATGACCCTGACCCCCCTCACGGTCGCGAGCCTCTCCGCCGCTCGTGACCTTGACCCCCCTCCCGGTCGTGACCCTGATATCCCTAGATATAATGCCCGTCCAACTATTGTGGGCCCTCCGTGTTGTTCCGACGCCCCCAAGCACAACGCGATGCCCTGTGCCCACGCGCGCGGGCGCGCGAAAAGCGTTCGGGATCTGTTGTCCCCGACAGGTGGAGGCCACCAAGAGACGCAAAGGCTGGGCCCAACTTGGGCTCGCCAGTGAGCCCGACCTGGGTTCATATCTAGTTTCTCGGGCTTCACTGCCTTGATCGATATCACCATCGACCTCACGATAATCATTACTATCGATTCCAAGACAAACTTCGACATCGATCCCAATATCGACGCCACTATCGCTCTCCCAATCCATATCCCTCGTGCACAAAAATATCCCGCCAGAGCGCCCTCGGGGCTCCTCCTTCTGGAGCGTCACAAGGATGAGAAGCAAATTCCTGCAGAACATACCTCCAACCTGGAAGAAGAGCCAATCGGGATAAGTACCGAACTCCCTGAGCTCCGTGATCTGCTGTTGGTGCCACTTCAAAAGGTTGTCCCCCACGGTGGCAATGACGGACAGCTTTCTCACGTTAAGCTGGTCAGACCAGAAAACGCACGCCATCGTCAAGGCATTCAAACCACGCTGACGCAACACTTTTTCCTCTGAGTTTTGTTTGCTGGTGCCCGTCGCGGCCCCTGCCGACCCAGGCGAAGCCGCGGATCCCCCAAGGCAGAACCTTTCGAAGGCCACGCCCTGGAGCAAGTCGCATTTCAAGCACGTGGCCGTGTAGGCCAACTCGTACAAAGGAGCTGAACGGATCTCTTGCGTAACTCGTTGCAGGGGCCCCAGGAAGCGGGAAATCTTCAGTTTTTCAGCTTTTGCGTTCCACGGGCAAACATCTCTAGCCCGCAGCCACACTGCGTGCGTAGGATCCTCACTTCCAATGACGTCGCCTGCATCAGGTAAAGCATCAAGTATCCGACCGAGCATATCTGCGAATAAGGGTTCCGAGTGCGGCGATGTTTTCGTGAAGTATTCTTTCATTACTTCTTGAACTTGCTTCCCCTTCTTCCCAGTGTTCCAATCCTGACAAGGGACATTCGCGATGAGGATGAACGTCATCATGAAGTTATGGAGGCCTGCGATGTTCAGCCCGAGATCAAAATCGTTATGGCAATCATGGCTCCAATCCCACACAGCCCAAATATTTAGCCGAATATGGTTTTTCATACAATTGACTCCGCATGTGTTGCTGCCCTCGCGGTCTAGAGCAATGCACAACCGCTTCCACTTGAAAGGGTCTCCCCGCTCGGCCGCGGGAGTGGAGTATTGAAATTGCTTGAGACCGTCTCCGGTGGCCCATTGGATCTGGTTCTCCAGCCGTCGGATCATGTGGTATGTGGGTAACCTGGCAATCTTTTTTGGGCGCCACTCTGATATGTCTGAATCGGCGTGCCGTTTCAAGTAAGCCCTCGCGCGTTCTTCCTCGGCCCGTTCCATTTCTTCCTTCTTGTCCTGGCCCAGAATGAGACAGATCTCAGCATCGGACGTGTGTTCCTGCACCACCTGCTTAGGACAGACGCACTACGCATGGGCATCATGCTGCATGATCGCCCCTGGAGGCTCCACGCGCAAACGCCCGCCGCCGCTCCGCGCCACCACGCGCGCGTTTGCGCGCCCACGAGGCAGCTGAGAGCGGGGGCGGTCGCAAACGCGTCCAACCTCCTGGGCGACATGCCTTCTGGACGAGCGGTGGCCCCGAACACCCAAACGGGAAACCTCGGGGACCACAGACCGGATCCGGATGTCCGGGGGGGCAGAAACGCAGATGTATCGAGCGGGGGGACTTCCCCCGAACATGTGGGTTGTCAACGCAGAAGTTTCCAGACCTGGGCCGAGATGCTTTCGCCCGCCCATGTCGCTAGCACCTGGGGTGGAACGTGAAACGCCGCCCTACCGCCGACGCAGTGCACGGAAACGGCCAGCGAGGTAGTACCGATGCTGCTGTCGTCGGGACCTCCAGCGAGGACGCGAGCTAAGAATCTACTTAGACCTTGCATGCCGAACGCCAGAAGCTAAGAGAACCACGTGGGGGGAAGCGTGTCTGAGTACGAACACGAAGCGGACAAGGAAAAAGACGAGGGCGACAAGGAACACATTCGCGACTGAGGGGGCTTAGAGCCAGGAAGCCAATCCGAAAAGCACGGGGCAAGGAGGACGGAGGGAACAAAACAACGGAGCGAGCGGCGGTAGGGAACCCGACTGAACGGCCCAGCGATGAGGAAAGTAAGCAAAACAGCGAGCCCGTCCCCCCATTCTACCAGCAACGAAATAAGTGTTGAAGTCTCTCGCAACGTGGCCGACGCAGTCCTTGTACTGCCGAATCTTCCTCTCCACCTGCCAGTGGCTGTTCGGATCGATAGTCCAAGACCCCACTGCAATCGTCGGAGACGGGTCATCCGGGGAGTGGTCGGAGCCAGCCTTGCTCAACGTCACATCGACGGCCTTCCCCAAAACCATGACCACCTATGGGGATCCCGCCCTCCCCCACAATACCGTTTTAGCTCGCAACGACAGTGTTCTCTAGCGTAGCCCATGTCAGTCTGCGTTCCGCAACGTGTTAATGCAATTTGCTTTGGCCTGTGCATTTTCTGTCGCGCGCGGCACTCGTGCGCCGCAGTTTTGGTGGCGCAACGGGAAACAGGGGCGTCGCCATCGAAATGGCGATCTAACGCAGCGGATTTCAAAACGCACATGTACCTAAACACGGCTGTTTGTTTGAGTGGTTACCGCTTCGCCCCAAGAGGGGCGATCATCATTACGATGTGGGCCAAAAAACCTGGGACGTTCAAGCGCGGGGCGTCTATGGCGCAACCCGTTGCCTCCCAAGTTTTACGAAACCGTGTGGGACCTGCTTGAATAATTGCAGCCTTTTGCTGTGGTCTGTCTGGAAGTGTTCTGCGACAACCTGCAAAAAAGTCATGAAAGGCGACGAGCAATCCAAGTACCTGCGCAGAGTCACCAACCAGTCTTGTTCCGCGTGGCCGGATGCCAACCAATCGCCCTGGACGCTGCTAAGGTCGATCATCCCCGCACGCACGGGCAACGTCAAAGGGTGAGAACCCTCAGGGCAGTGGTTGCCGTTCATCTTCGCCTCTGCATCTAACAACAAATACATGTCGAAATCGCCGAGTCCGTCCACAAGTGCTTGGAGAAATTCAACGGATTTCTGCACGCCCATGTGCCTACGTAATTTATGACGCCCCCAACTCCATCGCATGCAGAAAGCAATCAACCCATACGAAGAGCACGACGGGAACGGCAACACTCTCCCAGGGTCGACGGCCCCAGGCGGCATATGCTTACGTTTGTAAGGGGCGCTCTGCAAAACGTGCCCTGGGAAACCGAGGACCTCCCCCAAGAATTTCTGCCAGGAACCCATGGCATCCGCGACCCATCGGCCAGCTGTCTCCCTGTCGCACGACTTCAGGGAGAGCCCCGAATGCAGTTTCAATAAATTCCAGAAATGCGTGACGCCGTTTCTGGGAGCTATGAACACGGCAGCTTGGAATGTGGTTGCCACCGAGGCTGCAGCACCCAGATTGACCTGTATGGTGGAAACCTTGAACAGCTTAAGGTAATCATCCTTCTCGTAGGCGCGATCGGCCTCGGACTCGGAGCCCTTCGCGATGATGAGCTCACGGCCGTCAGACAGCCGACGGTAAACCGAAGTGGTGAGTAGATCTGCAAGGTCCAAGATCACGCCGTCCTCGTCAGAGTTGCACTTCGATCTGTATATGAATGTGCCAGGGGGGTCGTCGACCAACGTGAACTCCTCGTCATCCTCGGCCTCCAAGGTCTGGGATTCAAAGGTCACATCGTGAGACAAGACCCATTTGCGAGACGAGGGGCACTTGTCAACCCTGACAACGTTCAACTCTGGAACATACGTGGCATGTGGCGCCTGAGCAGGCACCGGAGCGCCCGCGCCGCTGGAGCCCGAGGCCCCTCCGCCCGAGGCAGCGGCCATTCGGCCAGAGCCTGAGCGCCAGCTCCCTGAGTGGACCTGACAGCCGAAGGACGGCTGCTTGAGCCAAAATGGTTTTGGGGATCGCCTCGGGAAACAAGAATCCCCAGCGAAAGAATGACCCCCTGACCTTGCAATGTCCTTGACGTTTGCCCCAAAGTCGTATTCTTTCGGAGGGTTGGGGCTGGGGGGCCGAAGACTCCTGGAATCAGGCCGAAATCTCAGAACGAGCGCCGCAACTCAGGCGGTTCCACCTACCTGTTGTTCGCAAAGCTCGTGGGCAGCAGCTCACGCGGCCAGACGCCTCACCTGCGAGCTCGCCTGGGTGGGCCTGTCCACCTGGTAGTTCGCGCGTCTGCGTGAGAAGCCTCATCGAGCGAACTACGCCGCCAGATGACGGACCCATCTAGGCGAGAGAACAAGTGAAAGGCCCCTCCGAGCAAACTACATCAAGGCAAGAAACGTGACAACCACGAGGATGGGGTCGAGAGCTCACGGCTCTCTCAGGGAGTGGGCCGAAACCTCCAGGATCGAAGTGCCATTTCTGACTGGAAGCGGCAACCCGCGCGGTCAGATCGGCCGACATTTCGCTCCCTCGGATGGGCCTGCCACCTGTCAGCTGAAGCGTTTGTGAGAGGCCTCATCGGGCGAACACGAGGTGACAGAACCAGCTGAGCAAACGAACTGTTGCGAACCCACCGCGTGAGCTACCGGCCCAGACGACGGGGCTGGTTTCGCCGTTGCCTGCCCAGACGGCGTCCAGATGGAACCAGTTTCGCCGTTACCTGGAGCTGTACTGGTTGCCTGGGACCGGTTTCGCCGTTACCTGGGACAGGTTTCGCCGTTGCCTGGGGCCAGTTTCGCCGTTACTGAATGGTTGACTCTGATCGTCGTCGTCGTCGCCATCATCCCAAGTTTCTCGTTGTTTCGATGCGGGGCACTGTTTCGACTGCGCGGCGCGCGCCAGTGGCCCATGAGCTCTTCAATGCACGGGCATGAGCAACATCGCATCCCCTCCCACGCCCGCGCGCCGACCTGTTATGTTTCACCATCCCCAGCGTCGGGCAAGGCCTCATCAACAAAAAACGATCCCTGTCCGCGCTTCCCCGCCGACCCCGCCAACAGAAGGCGGCGTTAACAAAGTGCCCCCCCCTCCTGCGAGGACCAGGCGACGCGAGCTCCATGGACAGAGGGGCGCCGTTAACAAAGTTGCCCCACCCCCCCTCCTGCTCACAACCTGCCCCTCACCAGGCGCGCCCTTCGACGCCGCAAGAGCGCACGCGGCGCGTAATCAGCCGAGCGAGGGCACGCAGAGGCGCAACCAGCCAAGCGAGGGTAAGCAGAGGCGTGGCCTGCGCCAGGGACATTTCAAATGGGCGCACGCGCAACGCATAAAAAACCGGACGACGATCGCACGTGCACGACTGGATCACACAGCGACTCACGCGACATCCCGTTGCAAATCCTTGAACGCGTGCGCGGCGCATCCAATTAAGAGCTATTCGGAGAAGCGCGCAGCGCTATATTCGCCTAGTGTTCGCTGCCCGCGTCAGAATACATATGAGCGAAAAGCGCGCACATCTTACCTACATGCGCAATGAACCATAGGCGCGCGAAGTCTTAGAAGCGCATCTTGCGCACGTCCTCTGGGGCGCGATGCGAACGTTGAACCGACCAAACTCGTGTGAAACACTCGGGGCCCACGCGCTCGGAAATCTTGCGCCGTGCGCCTGCGCAAAAAATGGAGTGCATCATACACGCAGCATGTTATAACATTCGCGTGTGCCTCAATCGCCGTGTCTTCTGCGGGCCCCATGGGGATGAAAGACGGCGGCGTGAAGACGCGCGTGCAAAACGTATTTGCGCATGGATCGATGGTGCCAGCTGGCCCCGCAGCGCCGACCTACAACCCAGGCGCGCAGACGTGAATTCAAGTGGCCCGCGCTGGGACCTGGACCACGCGGGCCCACCTGTGAGTTCAAGTGGCCCGCTTTGGGGCCTTGGCCACAGAGGCCCACTCGTGAATCCAAATGGTTCGCAGCCCGCTCGGGCCGCGAACCGCGGCCCCAAGCCGAATCCCAATGGCGATAACTGGGGGAAAAACAGAAGAAACACCGAATCACATCCGTTCATGAAGGCGTCTTTGGGTTCCCACCCCAGGCCAACCCCCTTGGCCCTGCAAGCCGACGCGTTCGGCCCCCTCTCATGCCTCCCTGCCCCCGCCACTGTTTCAGTTCAGGATTGGTAACTCACGCCCCCACGTGCCCCCCCCCTCCCAAGCCACACCTTTTTCGCATTACAGGCTAACGATTTGCAGCCCCCCACCCCTTTCCTGCCCCAGTCCCCCCTCCAGTCCCATCCATGTCACAACTGCCCCCGGTCCAAACATGGAGGCGTCGCCCCTAAAGGCCCACGGTTACCCTGAGTGCGCCCGCAGATCCAGCCGCCGTGAGAGCAGAGAGCGCAAGCAACTAAAAACAGCACGGTTCCCAAACAATGCTTGCGCTGACATGGCAACGATTCCACTGATCAGGGCCCGAACATACCCCGTGAAACGCTCTGTTTGCAGACGGGCTTGGCCGTCGAACCAAGAGCCCCCGACAATGGAACGAGGCTCGCGGCTCCGCGCTTGCGGAAATGCGCCCGCCACCCCGCCGAGTTGAGGCAAGGGTCGGGGGCGTCGAAACCGGGGGCGGTGAACAAGGGACTGAAGAGCCTCAAGACGGGCAGAAACCACAGGGCAACAGCAAGAGGAGATAATGACGAGATACGCGCCGTCAGACCACCGCCCTACGGGGCATCAAGGGGAGTTGTCCGTTTCCCCCGCACGTCTGCCACGCCACGCCCAAGTCATACCTCAACCGCCTGCGCGGTTGTCAAAAGAAAAACGGCTACTCAATGCACGGGGCGGCGCGCCCCCGAGCCAAGCAGCGCGGGCCGCTCCACTTAAACACGCAGGTGTTTGCCAGATGTGAGGCCAACCCAATCTGGATGTGACAACTGTGTTGAATCCCGAGTGCGGTGAGCCTGTTGGTGGCAAGTGCACTGCACGCAGCGCAAGTGTGGTACCTTGGGTTGCCCTCATGAGGCGTAAATCAAAATGGTAGCCCGGTCAGTGCTTGCGCTCCCCGGCGTCGCGCGGCACGCGACGCTACGGCAAGCACGCGGCTACGCGTGCTGGTGGGCGGCATGGGGTTCATGGGAAACTGAACTACGCAGCATCCATCTTGGAAAGGTCGATCTGTTGCACCCTGGCCGACTTCGACTTGGCGGCAGCCTTGCGAGCCACCTCAGCCTTCCGTTTCTTGTTCGCCGCCGTCTCCTCGGTATCAGCATTCATGTCGATGGCACTGCTGCTGCTGGTTGCGGCAGCCTGCTCCTTCTTCAACGCCTCCTGCCTGCGCTTGGCCGCGTGGAGCTGGCCCTTCAGACAATCACCCTTTTTGTCGATGTTGAGACTGACGATCCTGGACCCAGGTTCGAACATCGGGAGGATCTCGTGCTTTGTCAACTCGAGCTGGGCGACGGCCCTCACTGCGTCAGCAGCGTTCTGGATCTTGAACCGTTTATCGATTACCTGGAAATCTTTTGGGAGAGCCGTGTCTTTGAGGTAACTTGTGATTTTCGACACCTTTCCATTGGTCCATTTGTAGTCATAAGGGTACCCAATCCAATCGATCTTACCCGTGGCCTTGTCGACGCAGTCCCTGATGAATGCCTCGTCTGGGAAGCCGACGGTGTTCGCGCGCTCCGTGCAGAGGAAACCGAACAACTGCGGGTCTGCCCAGCAATCCTCGGGGATGACGTCTTTCTTGTAGTACGCACATACCATTTGGAAGATATGCACAATGTTATCCTTTTGATGTTTGCCGATTGCGGATAACAGCGGGGCTGTCCAGCACGGTTTGCGATTCTTCAACCAAGCGGCCATCCAGTTCGGGGTGACCTCGGACACGAGCCCACGGGGGCGGGCAAAAACATCAATGAACGAAGGGCCGACGCCAAGCGAAAGGTCTGCGCAATCAGCAAGAGGAGGGAGATGGAAAGGCAGCAGGGTGAACAGGAGGAGCGGGCTTGAAGAGAGGGCGATTCGGGCGAATGGGAGGAGGAAGAAATGAAGGAGAAAGAAAACGGACGGTGAAACGGAACATGGGGGGCGGGAAACTAGGACAGGAGGGGCGACAAGGAGGAGCGTGAGAACGTCGACAGCAAAGGCTGAAAGCGCAGGGGCCAGGCGCAACAACAGAGACTGGCGTCGTGTCCCCTATACCCGTGGATCCCTGAGCCCGTTACCAGGAGGAATCTTGTTGTTTTATCCTCCGCCCGCACCTCCCCCCGAATGCTGGCTCGTTTCCCCTAGCCCTGTCCCCGCCGCCCCCCGTCTTCCCGCTACACCGTTTCTCCCCCACCACTGTTCCAGCGGCCTTTCATCTGGCACCTCACCCCCCCCCCTCCTCCGCACCCTCCTGCTGGCCCTCCTCCTCCTCCTCCCCCCCATATCGCCCGAATGATCGCGCTCCTCCACCGCAGTACGCTGACGCCCAAACATTATCCCCGACCGTGCGCTCGACCTCCGGTAGGTGCCCTTACTTTTCGCTTTCTGGTGCACTCACCATTCCCCCCGCTTCCCGCCCCCGCCCCCCTTCCTCCCCCACCCCCCACCGAGGCCCCGTGTATAAGATGTGTGGGAGGGCAACGATTTGGACGCGCTGACCTGCGACAGTTTCTTGCACTCGCCAGGCCAGACGTCCACGTCGGGTGCTAGAATCTCGTTTCGCAGAACGCTGACCTGCTCGTCTGCGTACGACCAGATCCTCTGGCGCAGCTGAGGGATTTTCCACAGGATGTCAATCGTCTTGACAAGCGCTGTCCTGTTTGCGGTGGCATCCTCCGTCTGCCGTTTGTTCAAGCCTTTCGGAACTTGCGGGACCCTTTTGGCGAGAGTGCACAAACCTTTGGTAAGGCTGCCAAAGTCGACGTTCTCCTGTGCCAGGCGGCCGCCACCGACACCAGACTTGCTAGCTCCCAAGACCATGGGTACGGCGAGGGGAACTCTCGCGAAGTCAAGGCAACGGCGGGACCGCAAAATACACTGTTGAGCCATACAGAAGAGACATGGAAAAAAGGCCCTGCACGATCAAACTCTGGATGGCAAGTTGCATGCGAAGCGAGCCCACACGTACTCGAAACAAACCATGTCGCAATGCACGCGACGCACGCGAACGTGGCACACGTGCGCACGGGAGAATGTGTTTGCGATGTGGCAACTCGCACGCATCATGAGCATGTCGCGCGCATCGTGCACCTGGACACCAGATGTGTTTGTGCTGCGTCTGCGTGCGCGCGCTGGGTGAGTACGTCGAGTTTTCGCCTGGTGCGCACCCGTGGGCGTATCGCGAGCGCCTGGTTAGGTTACCGTGCTTTGGCCGGCATGCAGAGGTTTCGCCTGGAGCCCGCCCGCGGGCGCTTCGCGAACGCACTGAGCGCTGCGAGGCATCCTCCCAGATCCGCTCGAACCCGCCCGAAATCAATTGTTCGGGGCCCCACTCCAGGCACAGACCGCTGGGGCACAATACGGGCGGCGCAAAACAAAACCAAGCCCGAAAAAATCTGCACATTTTGGGGTGACAACACGTATCAGTATGTTATCTAGTGCTGAGACAGCAGCCCCCGCTGCTGCGAGGGCTTGTTTCTCGGAGCCCCCCCTGCGCCGAGCCAGCGGCTGCGCGGCCGCCTTCGCCGACGCGGCCGCGGGTCGAGCCGCCGCCCCAGCGCGCTTGCTCGAATGAGGCCTGTTGTCCGGTTTCCGGGGGGCCCTCTTCTCGCCGACGCGGCATCGCCCCGTCCTTGCGTCGGGCTTCCTATTCCTCTTCTCGCCGATGCGGCATCGCCCGGTCCTTGCGTCGGGCTTCCCAGCCTTCATGGCTGGGGGTCTCGAGCCAAAACGGCGCGGGAGAGCCCGGGAGCGGGAGCGGGAGCCGAGACCTGGAGCGGGACCGGGACCGGGAGCCCGGGACCGGGACCAAGACCGACACCGGGACCGGGACCGGGACCGGGAGGGGACCGGGACGTGACCGGGACCGGGACCGGGACAGGAAGCCCGGGACCGGGACCAGCTCCGACAATGGGACCGGGACCGGGACCGGGTCTGGCAGGGGACCGGGACCGGGACCGGGACCGGGACCGGGACCGGGACGGGGACGGGCACCGGGACCGGGACCGGGACCGGGACCGGGACCGGGACCGAGACCAGGTCCCAGGACCCCTCCTCCTCCTCCTCTTGCTCGTCGCCCCCCTTAAGTCTCCCACCAAAAAGCCAACGACGACGACGACCACGACGACGACGACGACGACGATTTCCTCAGCCGCCCAGTGCGAGCGCCTGGCTCCTCGCGCGCGCGCGCGCCGAGCCCGCGCCTCAGACCTCTGATGGTAACCCCCGCTGCTGCGGAGGCCTCCGCAGCCGCGCGCCGTCAGCAGGAGTCGCTTGAGGGGCTGCGGCGCCGCTCCTGCAATGCCTCGAACGCGGGGCCGGGCGCGCCCTCCGGGCCCGCAGGAGGCGACGGCTTCCTGGGGAGGAGCTGCGCCGGCGGAGGCTGCAGCGGCTGCCTCGGGACGAGCCGCGCTGCCGGAGGGCGCGGCGTCTGCGACTGCCTGGCCAGGAGCCGCGCCGGCGGAGGCTGCAGCGGCTGGCTCGGGACGAGCCGCGCTGCCGGAGGGTGCGGTGTCTCCTCCAGCGGGGGGGCCCCGCAGCGGCCTCCTCCACGCGGGGGAGCTGCCCATGGTGGTGACATCATTGGCGGCATGCCCGGCGGCCGGCAAATCTGGCCGGGGAGGAGCGGGCGCCATCCTCTCGGCCTCAGCACCGGCTGGACTGCGTGGGGCGGGCGCACGGGCGGCGTGGGCAGGAGCCGCGCCCCCTCCTGTCGGTCGCCGCCCTCCACCCGCCCACTGCGTCCGGAGCGGCTGCGCCCCCTCTGCTCCTGCCCTCTGCGTCTGGAACGGCTGCGCCCCCGCTGCTGCGAGGGCACTGTCCTCTTTCGGTCTCTGCTCCTCTGCTCCCGCCCTCTGCGTCTGGAACGGCTGCGCCCCCGCTGCTGCGAGGGCCCCGCCCTCTTTGGGGTTATGCTCCTGCTCTCGCTCTTCTTCTTATTATTATTATTCTTATTATTATTATTATTCTCCTTCTCCTTCTTCTCCTTCTTCTCCTTCCTCTCACCTCTGTCAGGGTTCCTCTTTTCGTCCTGGGGCGGCGCGGGGCTGCAGGCGTCGACGGCGTCGCGCCCGTCGTCCTCAAGCTCCCCCTGGGCTCCGTGCGCCCCCGCTGCTGCGGGGGCTGCTGCTTCGGGTTATGTATCCGCCTCCTTTCCCCGCCGTTTTCCCCACCTGGCCCCCCACTTCCGATCCTTATTCCTGCCCTCGGCGCCTTCGCCAGACTTCCTGTTCTTGGCTTCTATGAAAACGAACAGTGCGTGGCAGTGTTCCGCGAGGCGGTTCGCCGACTGGGCCTTGAAGATCACCCTGTGTAAGTGCGGCCAGAAGTATGTCCACTGCTCATTGCGCTCCGCGTCCGTCAGCCTGACCCAGGTCGGACGCGCCGCCCAATCCAACTGGCGGTGCTGCAGCCTGTTCAGGAGCCCCCGCTGCTGCGGAGGCTGCAACGCCAATTTCCCCCACGACGGCAGTTCCGGCTGCTCGCTCGCAGGGCAATCGCGAACCTGAGCGGGGCCCAGAATCACGATGTAGCGCGGGTGCGCCACGCGACTCTGTGATTCCCCACGCCAGAAAGCCAAGCCGAGAGGGCCTGTCCCAGACGCGCCGCATCTTCTGAGCATCTCCAAAAGATCGCCCGCGTCTCCGTCGAAGATCCCGGCGAGAACACGTACTCGGCGCTGCAACACCAGGCTCCGAAGCCCGTTGCGGATGCCTTCGGGCCACGCGCTTCCAACGACGCTCGTCTGGCATCGGAAGAACACGCCCCCCACTGCCACGGAGAGCTTGCCTTCCTTTGCTTTCGGATTGTAGGCCCCCGCTGCCAGGGTCACCGACCAGGCCTGAAAGAGGAACTTCCCGTGGGGGTGCACGCGAAGCTCGTCGCACTGCTCGACGCGCTCGGGAACCCAGAGGAGAGCCCCGACGCACTCGTGCGCGACCGCGCCGTAGAAGCCACTCTGGCGGATCAGCGCGTCGAGATGTCGCTTCCGCTGGTCGCGTGCGATGTCCGCACCAGGCTCGAACGAGGCTAAGAGGAGCCCTTCGCGCCTGGCCCTAGCAGCTGCGACCCAATCCGACAGGGCAGCGTCCGCGCGCAGGACGAGAGAAGCAAAAGCCAAGTTCACGCGCGCCTCTGTCTGCCCCTGCTGCACCTGGTCTGCCTCGTCGTACAGCAGCGGCACAAGAGGCTTGGAACGGCTCGGGCCGCGCTTTTCCTCTGGGAAGTGCGGGCGGCCTTCCCCGCTGACAAGAGGCGGGGCCTCTTCGTCGGCGGGCCCCCGCTGCTGCGGGGGAGCTGTCTCGCGGGCGCCTTGGTGGACAGGAAGCGCTGGCGATCGCGCCTCGGTGGTCAGGCCGATGGGCTGCGTCTCGCGGGCCCCCGCTGCTGCGGGGGAGCTGTCGCGCCCGTGCCCTCGCAAGTCCCACACTTTGTCTGCTGCGGTAAGACCCTGCCGTTTTTGCAAATTATTCGTGCAGGGAGATCTCGGTCTCGGGTCCTCGGAGCAGGCGGCGTTCTGTCCAGGCTGGATTACCACTGCGGCGGCGCCTGGCTCCACGCATGCCCCCGCTGCTGCGGAGGCCGCCTGCGGAGCCTGCGCCGGCGCCGACGCCTTGCTCTGCGTCGTGTTGGGCGCCGCCATTTTGAGTGCAAGGGCGTTGGCGGCGGCCGTCAACTTCCGCGCCTGCGCGATGTCGCCCATGTCCATCATTTTCTGAGCAACCGCCAGGCTCCGCGAAATAATTTCCTGGGCAGCGCTCATCGACGAGAGGAACGCCCCAACGTCCGTTGCAGCCCCAACCCCCGCTGCTGCGGAGGCTGGTGCTGAACCCGCCAGCCCCTGCGGAACTGCTTCAGGGGCCTCCTCCGGCAGCCCCCGCTGCTGCGGAGGCTTCAGCAGAGGCTCCTGCGCGGTCCCAGTCGCGCCCTGCTGCTCCACGCCCCGGGCCGCTCCCGTCGCGGAGGCGGGCGGGCGCGGAAGGAGGCAGGGCTGCAACGGCTGCGGATTCACTTTATCGCATTGCCATCCCTCCCTGCGCTCAAATGGCTTTTCCCCTTGCGCCAGTCTGCTGCTCCCACTTCTGAACTACCTCATCCCTTCTACCTCCCCCTCCACCCTCCTCTTCCTGTTCAATCCTCCCTCCCCCCTCCACCGTGCTCATTTCTCCTTACTCCCTTCTCTGCTCCTCCTACGTGGGGCGTTTCACGACAACGACGACGACGACGACGAAGACGACGACGAGGACGATGACCACGACGGCGACAACGAGGACGACGACGACCACGACGACGACGACGAGGACGATGACCACGACGGCGACCAGCGACGACGACTAGCGACGACGACGACCGACGACGACGACGCCGACCACGACGACGACGGCGACGACGACAACGAGCGACGACGACGACGACAATCGACGACGACGAGGAACGACGACGACGAACGAGGACGACGATTACGACGACGAGATGACGAAGGTTCGAAGATCGAACCTCGAAGTGCGAAGCTTCGAAGTTCAAACTTCGGACTTCGAACTCCGAACTTCAAACTTCGAACTGCGAACTTCGATGGGGTGCCAGGGATACAATGGGATGGAGGGAAAAATGGGAAGGAGAGAGCGAGGAAACGGGAGAGGAAGTTGGAGGAGAACGAACAGGCGTGGAGCGACGAGGAACGGGCGGCGAGGAGCCGACGTTGAGGGCGGCGGGATGGGGGGATAGGGAGGAGAGGGGCGACTTCAGAACGAAGATCGCGCAACGGCGCCTGCGCGCGCGCCCCCGATCTCGCAGGCCGACGCGCGCGCCCCTGCCGAAATGCAACGCACCCTTCATTCGAGCCCCGCTGCTGCGGAGCCACCTAATCCACAACCGAATCGTCTGGGGAGCTGTTCGGTCCCCAAACTACTGGTTTGCCGGCCGCTGCTGCGGACGCCAAGGGCCCGGTGCTGGACGCCGCGGCCCCGCTGATGCGGGGCCCCTGAGAAGGCGTCGGCCCCCCCTTCTCTCTGGCGGCGTCGAACTTGACCTTACGCTCCACACCGAGGTCCTTGCACCAGCGATGTGTTCCTGACCCGTCGCTCCCGCCCAAACCCGCGGCTGGTGGCCTCACCGTGTCCGCGTGGGGCACGAGGGGCAGAGCTTCGACCTTCCTGTCGCCCCAGTGCGGGTGTAAGCGGACGCCTGTCCCGTCGTCGCGGCGCAACACGAAATCCCACATCGGCAGCTTCAGTTTCACCCGCTGCCCCGCGAACTGTCGCGCGCACAGTACTTTGGCGCGTGTGGTCGTAGCTGTTCGGCCGGACTTCGAGGGAACAGCCGATCAGAGCCCCGCTGCTGCGGGGCCCCCCCACGACCTCCCTGATATCTTCCTCCCTGAGCGTCGCCACCATCTCTTGCCACCGCCAAGGGACTTCCTCGTCGCTTCTGAAACCAAAGCTCGTTCTCGCACCGTGGTCGCAAACAGCGACCATGGTGGGCTCCGCATTGTCAAACCACTTGGCTTCTGACTCGAACGGGGCAGTTGGGTCTTCTTTCACGTGGCGCCACCATTTCAACGCTTGGTTGTGTTGCTTAAACGAAGTGCCGAGCCTCTTTCATAACTCAAAAAATAATTGACATCAAACTTCTCAAAATCCTGGGGCCCGCGCGCCGCCGCCGCTGCGGTGGCGCGGGGCTCCTGCGCCGCAGGCGCGGCTCGGGATCCCGACCCCTCTCCTGAAACTGTGCCCCCAGGTTCTGGTGAGTTTCGGAGGGCAGCCCTCACGAAATTATCGAATTCGGGCATGCCGAGACCAGGGGCGCGGGAGCTCACGACGCCAAGCGCGGCGAAGCGAGACGGCCGTTGAGGCGCGACCGCCGCCGCTGCTGCGGCGGCAGGGCCATCGCGACATTTGGCGTCCTCCGTTGGCGTGTTCCCGTCTTGTCGCCACTCTCCAACCCCACGCTGACCAATCATGGCCGTCCTCCCAGCCACGCCAGCCGCCGCTGCGGCTATCCCACCATCCTTCCGCGCCACCCCATGTGTATCCGCCTGCATCGCCCATTGCAAGACGATGGCGCAGGCGCGCGTTAGGCCGCGACGGGCCCGGCTGCACCGTTGCTCGCGGGCGATCCCACGGGCGCGGGATGGTTTGAGCATAGCGGCGAGGGACGAAGCGATGTGATTGGACGGCAGAGAGGTTGAAAGGAAGGGGGGTTGGAAACGGAAGAACGAAGTGGACGAAGAGCGGAAGTCGAACCAGAGGGGGGAGAAAAGGGCGGAAGAGAATGAGGACATGCAGACGAAGGAGAGTGACGAGGTAGATGGCGGGGCAGAACGGCAACGGAGGATAATGTGGTGGAAATTGTGAAAAGGACGCATGGACAAACACGACGAGGATCACAGACGCAAAGATGATGAGCGCAGTGGTAGCATGACATATCCGAAATCAAGAAGCAGGATGAGGAGGAACGGGATGACGAGCAACTCTGTCACAGAGGGCCTCCAAACGCACCCCCTCTGTCACAGAGGGCCTCCAAACGCACCCCCTCTGTCACAGAGGGGCAAAATGATCACTTTAATGCGGTGTCTGGACTACTCTTCTTCATCATCATAATATTAATCAGCATCAGCGTCATCATCATCATCATCATCAGCATCATCATCCGCATCATCATCATCAGCATCATCATCATCATC